CTTAATAATCATATTACTGTAAAGCAATATAGGATATTGAATAATCATATTATTATAAATCAATTTACGATACTAAATAATCATATTTCTGTAAATCAGTCTAGGATACCACTTATTCACATCAATTTAAATCAATCAGAAAGCAACATAATCAACATAAATTTAACTAAATCTTCGTGTTTTCATGATGCTATTTTCTGAATCAAATTATAGTGTTTCGCAATTGTTATGTATTAGTAGTTAAATGTTTATTTATTATCATATTTCGTGAGAACCAATATTTACATACCGCTGTGTGTCTGTCCAGTAGCCAGTTAATGTCAAAATCGTCGTCGTCCTCCCCGAATGGGTTGATCAGTTGTTCTGCTACCTATGCAAAGGCAGTATGTTTTAGTTTGAATCAAGAAAAAAAATCCGGAATACTTTTGAATTTCTAAACTTATGGAATGTGTTCCTATGTTAATACTGTCAGAGGAAATTTGCATTTTATTACTCCCAACTCGAATAACGGGAGACCATCGTAAGTAGCAAACATCAAGGTGGCGTGATGCTGCTCCATTGATATAATACAGACATTGATCAGTGATAAAACCCTGCTTCATTGACACGATTTTCTATCATACCAGTCTCGATGTTAAAAAACCCCGTCCCTATATGTATTGATACAGTTAACACTAAATAAGAATGCATATGTTAATCGATCATTAAGTAATTTGTCTTGTGTAAAGGTAAGTTAACATATGTCGTGAAATTGTATAACAATGCCCGAATTTGATTTTCTGACGCTTTTCACAATAAATGGGGAAATAAAAAGGAATTACAGAGAAGAAGAAACATCATTGTGATGAGCTGGTGGTAAATGGGCAGTAAACGAAACAACAGATATTATATCAAATTAAAACTGTATACATTGTCATTTTTTTAATTTTCAGTCCATGCACCATTGTTTTTTTTTTTTCCTACCGACCTTTAACCATCCCATGTAGAGGAAAAACTGCAGTAGTGTAAAAATAGGCACATACAGGTCCAGGTCATGCCCGGGATATTTCTTTTCCGGGTCTAAAAACTGACGACCAATAAGACAGGCTGCGAAAAACATGTACACCGACCACGTAACAACCTGTAACATAAATATATACACTGACCACGTAACAACCTGTAACATAAATATATACACCGACCACGTAACAACCTGTAACATAAATATAAAAAACAACCACGTAACAACCTGTAACATAAATATATACGCCGACCACGTAACAACCTGTAACATAAATATATACACAGACCACGTCACCATTTCAGTTTCAAATTCTGATGAAGCGGCAGAACAAATGACCTACCTGTTATCAAGAGATCACATATCACGCTATATGACTTACCTGTGTGTAGACTAGTGGAATGGTGATCCAGAGATCAGGTGTCACGCTACATGACTTAACTGTGTGTAGCCTAGTGGAATAGAAATCCAGAGATCAGGTGTCACGCTACATGACTTACCTGAGTGTAGACTAGTGGAATGGTGATCCAGAGATCACGTGTCACGCTATATGACTTACCTGAGTGTAGACTAGTGAAATGGTGCTCCAGAGATCACGTGTCACACTATATGACTTACCTGAGTGTAGACTAGTGGAATGGTGATCCAGAGATCACGTGTCACACTATATGACTTACCTGAGTGTAGACTAGTGGAATGG